ATCTTTCTCTCTCGTCACCGCCTCGGGGCCCACCCGCATTCCACCCAAGGCGCTCGATCACTTATCGGATGAGTCTCTCAGTGTGTTGGCTCAGATGTTCGAGGTCTTTGAGCTGCACTTGCGGTTTCACTCAGACCGCCTGTATAGTGAGATGGTCCGTTTCCCTAAGCCAGATGGTGGCCACAGGCTGATTGTGCTTCGCCATGCTCTCATACGGGTTTGGGCGGAAGCACGCCGATGGCTGTCGGCAGAGTGGCAACGACAGCATACATGCGACGAGATGTGGGGTACTCGAGGCAGCCGCACATCCACGGCCTCGGCTTTCGCTCACAATCTCGAGCAATAGGTGGGAAGCCTCATCGGCGACCACACTTGTACCATCCTCCTTGACATGGCGAAATGATTTGACATGGTGAGTCCCCGTGCGCTCATGCAGGAGGCACGGGAGCTGGGTTTCCCGATGCGCCAGCCCTGGATGTTGCTGCAGCTCTACCAGCAGCCACGGGGCATCAAGGCGTACGGCAGCCTCTCGTGCTCCTTCGTCGCCTTTCAGGGGGTGCTGGCGGGGTGCGCACATGCCACCTACCTCATCTACCTGCTGACATACCGTGTCCTCCAGCGGGCCAGCAGGGTTGCGCCGACAACCAAGTCACGGTCGCTGGTGGACGACATCGGCCTGCAGATGGTCTCCCCCGGCATCGGTGATGTCAAGCTGCTGCTGCGCACTGCGATGGTGCTCACTGCAGGGGCCAGGGACCTCGGGCTTATTCTCCAACCTGCTAAGTCCGCGGTAGTGGCTGGATCTGCGCAGGTCCGCCTTGTGGTGCACAGGGCCCAGCGGCGGCTGCCTCGGGCGGTGCCCCAAGCCCGACATATGGGCAACCTTGGCCATGAGTTGCATGGCCCTCGAGTGCCGAGGAAGCTTGAGAAGAAGCGCATGAAGGCCGTGTGGGGGCGCAAGTGCCGCTTCTTCATGCTGCGTCGCGCGGTGGGGCGCAAGGCTTCCACCCTGTGGCGGACTGGGCCCATGTCGTCCGCGGGGGACGGTGCTGGAGTGTCGGTCGGGTTTGGCGGACGCGCCCCTACGTTAGATGCGCAATTTGGCCGCGGTGCTAAACGGGCGCAGTGAAACACCATGTGGGCGTCACGGCATACGTCCTTACTCACCCCTCGGAGGAGTACGACCCCATCTATCATGCCACGCTGGACCTGGTCTTGAACTACGCCGCCTGGATTTGGGATGGGCGCGCGTCACCTAGCCGCCTTCAAAGGGCTTGGACAGCGCTCCATGAGCGGCTTGTCCCTACCAGTTGGGCCAGTGCCAAAGGTCCCCTGGCCGCGACGTGGTTGACGCTCAGGCGGCTAGCCTGGGACATGAAAGCGCCGCGCGTCTTGCAGGACGACCTGGGCAACCAGTATGACCTGTGCCGCGTGTGCCCTGCTGACCTACGTCCGTTTTTGGTGCAGGGCGTACAGCGCTGGCAGCGCGACCGCCGCACCAGCCACATGTACTCCCACGCTGGTGCGCCCGTCTGGCACCGTGGGCTCATGTATGCGGTCAAGGGTGTCCGTGCCGCAAGGCAGCTGGGAGCGTTACAGGCGCTATGGTCTGACAACGTACCCATGCCGATCCGCAGGGACATGAAGCTCGGCATGCCCATGCGCCCTTGTCAGGCTTGCGGGAAGGCCCTTGCGCCCGATGAATGCTGGGGCCATGTCTTCTTGGAATGCCCCGCGCTGCTGATCCACCCCCACGCTGGGGAGCTGCGACCTATGGGGCAGGTTCCGACGGGCCATGTCCAAGGCCTGCGACAAGCGCAGAACTCTGAAATACAGCAGGGCCTCGGCCACCTGCGCCAGCAAGCTCGCGACAACTTTGCGAGTCGGGCCGACCCGACCCTGCCGACCCTGCCGACCCGACCCAGCACCGTGGATGCCGAGGACGATTTCTTTCCAGGCACTGGGCAAGGGGTTGATGCAGAGGTCGATTTTGTGCCACCCGATGGGTACGACGGCCATCAGGAGAAGGCGCGTTTGGACGCGCAGAGTGTCCGCTGTGCGCCACCGGTTGCTTCGGAACAGGGTGACCCGTTGTCCCCTGCGGCGGCGGTTCCTGCCTCGGCGCCCGATGCGCCATGCGGGCGCGGCGGGCCCGAGACAGCGACGCCAGCGCTGAATGGCCGTGGTGTCTTCCACCTCCTCCAAGTGCTGGCTGAGGTGCGCGACCAACTTATCCAAGCGGGTCTTGGATCAGGCACGCCGAATTTCGAGCAGTCCTACCTCGTTTTTGGCATGCCCGAGCCTCCCGCTTATCTGCCACTCGCAGATGCGCGGAGGCATGATGTCTGCCTTTGGGGCGACGCCCATGGCGTTTGGGGTCCCGTCTCTTACACCGACGGGTCTGGTTGCGACTCAGGTGTTCCCGAGGTGCGGAGATGTGGACAAGCTGTTGTGCAGCTTGATCCCTACTTTTGGCTGCCAAATAGGGCGCGGTTCGGGCCCCTTCCGTACTTGGTGCAGACTGTCGGCCGTGTTGAGAGGTACGCGACCAGGGGGGGGCTCGACGCTTTCCCTGACCACCAGTGCTTCGTCACTGACCTGCTGGCGCTCGCCCAGGAAGGAGAGCGTTGGCGTCCCGAGCTCGGGCAGGGTCGTGCCAAGCATGCTCGAGCGTGGCGGGGCATCTTCGTGGCCAGCCGCAGGCGCACTCTGCGGGGCCCTCCCAAGTTCCGATGGACGCCAGCGCACAGGTCCTTGGAGGAGCTTCTGGGCACAGAGCCGCAGGAGCTGCGTGACTGGCTAGGCAACGGCTGGGCAGACTACTTCGCGCGCTGTGGTGCGGCCTTTCACGCGCTGCGGTAGCAGTTGCGCTGAAACAGCGCCGCGAGGTCCTGCAGTTCATTTCGTGGGAGGCACTGCAGGTGGTGGCTCGCGAACAATGGGGGTGCGACGTGGAGGTCCCCAGGCCGCTTTGCGAGCAGGCCAGGCCCATTGTGGTGGCACGCAGTGCGGGCCATGTCCTTGCTTACTGCGCCAGCCTCGGGCGGTGCCGATGCACCCAATGCGGGGTCGCGGCCGCAGCGGGCTCCTCCCTCGAGTCGCTGCAAACTGGCTCTCATCGTGTATGTCGCCCTTCGCGTGTTGCCAGAGCTCTCAACGCCGAGTGCTTCCGCGCCTTCGGCGAGGGCTGGATTCTCTGCAGCGACCAGAGGGCTGGCATGGCCCTGGGCGCGGCCTTGGCGCTCGAAGGGAGCTCGCAGCCCTCGGCCCTCGCAGCCTTGTTGCCGCCTGCCCTGGCCGAGGAGGTCGGGGGCGCCTTCGCCGCGCTTGGGCACGACGTGCTCAGGGGTAACAGTGTTCACTGTTGCAGGCGCTGCGGGTCTCACTGTGCTGCGGGAGATGCCCGCGCAGTGCGGAAGCTTGGCTTGAGGTGCGATGGGCTCTCGCCCAACGAGTCCACGCGCCGCAGCCAGCAAGATGCGATCAGGCGCCTCGAGAGGGGCCTGGCGCCTCGCGCCCGACGTGCCCCAGCAGCGCCGCCCCCGCAGGGGGGCTTCTCTTGCAGCCACGCGGCGCGTTGATCGACCATGTCGCGATTCGCTGCCTTTCCGTGGTCGGCTGGTGGCACGACGTCTTCTTCGGTGGCGACGCCTCCTTCGTCGGCGGCAGGTTGGCCTGCGTCCACGGCCTTGCGGACGACTTCTTCCAGTTGCTCTCCGGCTACATTGCCTCCTGCTCTTGCGGCGCTGTGCCGTGCGTAGGCGGCGCCAAGGGGGTAGTCCGTCGCGCGCCCGCGTGCGCGGCGGGAGACCTTCCTGAGGCGCTGCGCTCCTCCCCCTCCTCCTGCTCTTTCCCCTCCTCCTCCTCCTCCTCCTCCTCCTCCTCCTCCTCCTCTTTCTCCTCCTCTTTCCCCTCCTCTTTCTCCCCCTCTTTCTCCTCCTCCTGCTCCTCCCCCCCCCCGATGACGGGCAGTGGGGGCAGAGGCGAGGTGGGCGAGGGAGGGGGGGGGGGGGCGGGCGGGGCGGGGGGGGGGGGGGAGGGGCGGTGCGCGGGCTCGGGAGGGCCCCGCATCGGGGAGGGGGGGGGGGAGGCTTGGGCGGGAGCGGAAAGGGATTGGGGGGGTGCGAAATAGAGGACATGTGAGGGGCGAGGGGGGGGGGGGGGGGGTGCTGAGTATGCGCGGAGGAGCAGGGGGAAGAGGCAGACGAGGAGGGGGAAGGAGGGGAATTAGGATGAGGAGGATGAGGATGAGGACGATGATGAGGATGCTGATGAGGAGTTTGATGAGGAAAGGAAAGGGTGATCCGCACTGGCATGGTTGTGGTTAATATTCGACCTGCAACTCGTCACATTAGCCGCCAGAGTCGTAGTCGCATTCTTAGTGTTATTAATACTGCTGCCATCACTATTGCCACTGCGGCAATTCTCAGATCGTTGCAGACGTAAGCGAATTATTACATGTAGTAGGAACAACGTTTTTTTTTTTTTTTTTTTTTTTTTTTTTTTTTTTTTTTTTTTTTTTTTTTTTTTTTTTTTTTTTTTTTTTTTTTTTTTTTTTTTTTTTTTTTTTTTTTATATATATATATATTATATATATATATATATAATATATAAATATCATGGGCTTCGCTCTCTGCCGCAGGCCCCCTTCCCTATCATAATCGGAGGTGTCAGCGCTAAGCTGGGACGTGCCGCCGCTGTTTGAACACTTCTGGGAACATTGTGCGAGGGCTGGTGGCGGTGAGAGGTGAATTGTGAGTGGTGGTAATGATGGTGATGATGATGCTGCTGATGGTGATGATGCTGATGATGCTGATGAAGCGGATTGTGATGATGGTGATGACGGTGATGATGATGATAATGATGGTGGTCATGCTGATGATGTTGCTGATTATGATGATGTTGATAGTGATGGTCATGATGATGTTGCTGCTGGTGATGGTGATGCTGATGATGATGATGATGCTGATGGTGATGATGATGATGAGGAGGAGGACGAGGAGGAGGACGATGATGAGGAGAAGGAGAGTCCCTCGCCGCGCCCGACGTTTCAGAGACCCCTTGCCAGGGGTGACTGGCTAGGCCAGACAAACGTGGCTCGGCGATGCTCGTTCACCCTCCCTGTCTTGTCCTCGCTTCTCCTCGTCTCCCCCTACCCCCCGCCATTTTGTCCACGCCTCCCCTCCCCTCCCTCCCTCCGTCCCTCCCTCCGAGGAGGAGAGGAGAAGGAGGAAGAGGAGGAGGAGGAGGAGGAGGAGGAGGAGGAGGAGGAGGAGGAGGAGGAGGAGGAGGAGGAGGAGGA